GCAACCCTGAAAAAAAAGGAATAAGGCTGGAGAGTATCACACTCTCTGACTTCAAATTGTATTACAAAGTGACAATAATCAAAACAGCATGGTATTGGCATAAAAGCAGACACACAGACAAATGGAATAAAATTGAGAACCCAGAAAATAAACCCACAAATATATATGGGCAAATAATTTTTGACAAAGGAGCCAAAAATATACAATGGAGAAAAGAAAGCCTCTTCAATAGGTGGTGCTGGTAAAATTGGAAAGCCACATGTAAAAGGATGAAACTAGACTACTATTTGTCACCATACACAAAAATTAATTCAAAATGGATCAAAGACCTAAATATAAGACCTGAAACAATAAAATGCATTGAAGAAAATATAGATATTAAACTTATGGACCTTGATCCTAGAGAGGATTTTATGAATTTGACCTCAAAGTCAAGGAAAGTAAAAGCAAAAATATGAGGCTATAGCCAACTAAAAAGCTTCTGCACAGCAAAAGAAAACCATCAACAAAACAACAAAGAGGCAACCAACCAAATGGGAAAAGATATTTGCAAACAATACCTCTGATAAAGGTCTAATAGCCAAAATATATAAAGCACTTATACAACTCAACAACAAAACAAACCCCAAATAATCCAATTTAAAAATGGGCAGAGGACCTGAACAGAAACTTCTCCCAAGAAGACATACAAATGGCCAACAGTTATATGAAAAGATGCTCAACTTCACTAGCTGATAGGGAAATACAAATCAAAACCACAACAAGATACCACCTCACACCTGTTAGGATGGCTATTATCATCAAGACAAGTAATAACACATGTTGGAGAGATTGTGGAGAAAAAGGAATCCTCAAGCACTGCTGGTGGAAATATAAATTGGTACAGCCTCTATGGAAAACAATATGGAGGTTCCTTAAAAATTTAAGAATAGAATTACCACATGAATCAGCAATCCCTCTTCAGGGTATCTACCAAAAAAAACTTGAAAATATTTATTCATAAAGATATATGTACCCCTATGCTCACTTCAGCACTATTCATGGTGGCCAAGACATAGAAACAACTGAAGTGTTGATTGATAGATGACTGGATAAAGAAGATGTGGTACATGGGCCGGCCAAGTGGTGCATTGGTTAAGAGCTGGCTTGGGACTCCAGAGGGCCTCAGTTTGGATCCCACATGAGGGCCAGTGACACTGCCCTCCACAGCTAAGATGCTGAACAACAGCTCAACCTGGAGCTGGGCTGCCGTGAGTCGTTGGCGACAGCGTAGGCTGCAGCCCCTGCTGCAGTGGGCTGCCATGGGCTACCGTGTGTAGCCAGCAGCCAGTGTGAGCGGCCAGAAGCCGGCGACTGATCTGCCTCGCCCGGGAAGAGCGCAATGATGGTGCCAACTTGGGCCAGTGAAGCAACTTCCTCCACAACTAGACTGAAGAACAAAACGACAGCAACTTATCTGTTCCCCTTCCCCCAATTCCCCAATAAAAATCTTTAAAAAAAAAAAAAAAGATGTGGTACATATACACAATGAAATATTACTCAGCCATAAAAATGATAAAATACTGCCCCTTGCAACAACATGGATGGATCTTGAGAATATCATGCTAAGTAAAATGTCTTTTTTTAAGAGAAGTTTGGAATAAAATGAATGTTAGCCTGTCTTTCATCTGTGTACAACTTTGCATTGTGAGACGATATCCAGAGCAGAGCTGCAAAACAAAACCAGGAGTCCTGATTCCCTGGGTCCTTATCTACGAATGATGTATTATTCCTTGCAAAACACTTAGGAAGATAAAATTTTGCTGTTTCCAGAGAGGGACCATTTCCCGCCCATTACGCAGTCGTTCATGACCCAGGCCCCACATCTCCCAGGCACCAGGCCACAGGCAAGTAACAGAGTTAGCCCAGGTCAGGGCTGAGGAGGAAGCTTCCCAGAAAGAGACACAAAACACCCAATGGAGCTGCTCCCACTTGTTAGGAACAACCAGACAGCAGGGTGGAACAGCTGCTGGACTTGGATGTCTGAAGGTTTCATTTATTTACATTTACTCCTGCTGATGTTTCTCTGACTCAGATTACTCCAAATCGCTTGGAAGAATACTCCAAAATGGAAAGTCACTTGTTGATGAGGCCCCCCCGCCAACAGTCGGCAGAATTACAAAATGATTCCTACGAAGGAAATATAACCCCTTGATGACATCAGCCAAACTCCGAGGAGGTCAAGAACATTCTAACCTTGTACTGACACAACTTTTGAGACTTCACATGTCCAACTCAGACTTTCCTTAGCACAATCCTGAGTATCACATGTCTTTAAGTGGAAGCAGTGGGCTAACTAGCGTGAAGTCATGGAGGAAGCCATGGAGGCCGACTCGGAGCCCTTTCCCAGCGTCCCCTGACCCACAAAACCTGCCTTGTTTCCTAATAATAAGTATGAACTCCTACATACTGAATATTTACAGTGATCTGGCCACTCTTCTGAGCACTTTATATACATAGATATATATTAACCAATTTAATTCACACAACAATCCTCTAAGATAGGCATGATTATTTTGCCCATCTTAAACTAGCAGAGAGTGGTTAGTCGGCTGTCATGGTATTAAAGCTAGTTTAGTGGCAGAGCCATCATCCAAACTCAGTATTCTGATTCCAGAGTCCACACTAGACCACCTCACCTGGCAATGAACAGGAAAGAACAAGGAAGGTTCGGGTTTTCTGGTCTCCCCTCGGTCCCTTTTTAGGTAATTGTAGACCAATTATTTTAGATGGAAGCTCAGAGATCATCTAGGCCAGCAAGGGCACTTTCATAATCCTGCCCCATAACAAGCATGCGCAGTCAGCTACAACACTGTCTTCTACGAACCCAAGGCAAGGCCTCAGAGTCCTTCTCAACACATCTCACTGTGCAACCTGTACCAGTTAATCAATTTGATATGTGTGTGGACAGGAAAAGGCAGGAAATGGCCTTGCAGTGCCTCCATGCCAGGTTTCACTTCTGTATTCACCACAGTGACCCCATTAAAGACTTTAATTAGGGCCTCATTAAAAAACCCATTAGAGGGGAAGCCAGGTGGCTCAGTTGGTTAGAGCTCATGTGCTCTGAACAACAAGGTTGCCAGTTTGATTCCGGCATGGGATGGTGGGCTGCACCCCCTGCCCACAACTATGGTAGATTGAAAATGGTGACTGGACTTGGAGCTGAGCTGTGTCCTTCACAACTAGTTTGAAGGACAACGACTTGACTTGGAACTGATGGGTCCTGGAAAAACACACTGTTTCCCAATAAAATTTCTTTTTTTAAAAAAAGCACTCAGTGGAACCGAAACATTGAAAGTTTAAAGAAAAAACAAACCCGTTAGAGACTGCCTCCCCTTGCATCAATTCCTACTAGGGGCCCAGTGTTGCACACAAAGGTTCTTGTCTTCTCTTCTCTTTTTCTTTGATATTTTTAGCCATCAGGCACCTTGTCTGCAATGTGTGCTCAAGGGGTGAGCGTGAACTAGATCGCTGGTTTTTCAAATGTGTTTCTTGAATCCTTGGAGAGTGAGGGTATAAGGGGCCACCTATTTGGCTTCAAACAGACCCACTCCATCACAGTGTATTTGATGAATAGTCTCTTCCTATTGATTCCACTTGGAAAACAAGGCTTTGGGGGCTAAACAAATAGTTTGGCAATGCACAGGAACCCCCATACTGTTTTCCATAGTGGCTGCACCAATTTACATTCCCACCAACAGCATACAAGGGTTCCCTTTTTTCCACAGTCTTGCCAATACTTATGATGTCTTTTTGATAAAAGCCATCCTACCAGGTGTGGGGTGATATCTCTCACTGTGGTTTTGATTTATATTTCTGGGGAGATGTCAAAGGGCACAAACCTTCAGTTACATGATAAATAAGTTCTAGGGATCTAATATACAGCATGATGACTATAGTAATTAATACTGTATCATATACTTGAAATTTGCTAACACAGTAGATATTAAATGTTCTCACACAAGAAAAGGTAAAACTATGTGAGGTGATGGGCATGTAACTTGACGGCGATAATCATTTCACAGTATATATGTATATCAAACCATTACATTGTGTACCTTAAATATATACAATCTTCATTTGTCAATTATTCCTCAATAAAGTTGAAGAAAATTGCACAGCACGTCAAGATCAATACCATGTTTCCCCGAAAATAAGATCTGGTCTTACATGAATTTTTGCTCCAAAAGACGCATTAGGGCTTATTTTCAGGGGATGCCCTATTTTTTCATGTACAACAATCTATATTACGAGACAGGAGTGGCAACAATAATGATGACAGTTAACAATGATGGTCCACACATATGCGATGAAATCATGCTAGGGCTTATTTTCCGGTTAGAAAAATAAATTTTCGGCGAAACATGGTAGGAGCTACCCAGTTCTGATGTCCCATGCCCATGACACTAAAGTTCTGGGGCACTAAGATTCTATGACTAGATTGAATCATGGGGGTGAGGTTCTGAACCATTCCTGGGTTCCCAGGGAGCCTGTCATGTTCAGAGATACTGAGATCTCTGCACATCTGGGTGGGAGCCTAGCAAAAGTTTTATGGCCCCTTCCTGGCCTCCCAAATCCTGAAGACCACCATGTGAACACAGGGAACACCAGAGAAGGTTCTCGGATCTCCTCATGCCTTTGGTTCCTTTGCTTCTTTCTCTAGATGCTTCATTTCAGAGAAAGAGTTAAGAATGACTCTCAGAAAAAAAAAAAAAAAGAATGACTCTCAGATTACTATACATGCTCAATCATTTCACTAACCCATACTCTCTTCTCCACTTCAAGTCCAAAGATGGATGACAATGTGCCATGTCCCCTCCTCCTAGTCTGCCCGTTATTGTCCTGTGAACTTGCCTTGATGCAGAAGTTGCTCAGCAGTTCAGGACCTCCCTCCTGATGACTTCATCATGACCTTAACCAAGACTTCTCTGGAAGTTCCCACTCTCCTACTATCTTTAAAAGGCAGGCAGAGCAGCCAGCCAGAGGAGCAGAGAGGAGCAGACAAACTCAAAAATCAACAACTCTTACCTGAAGCTCACGTCCTCACCCTCCACCATGAAGGTCTCTGCAGCCCTCCTGTGCCTGCTGCTCACCGTGGCCGCCTTCAGCACCCAGGTGCTGGCTCAGCCAGGTAAGCTCCCTCTCTCTCTATGACCACCTCTAGAACTATCGCATCAGGTCCCATGACTGAGCAAGAAGTGGTCCAAGCTCACAATCAGTGGAAGACCCAGAACTAGAAACCCAGGCCACTGAAGCCAGTCCCCACGTTCTTTCCTGCCATGAGTATTGAAAGAGATGTTGTATGTATCCATAATCTGACTGCCTTTGCAGTGTTTGGGGTCTGGGGACACCAAAGAAAGATCCTTTCTTACTGTGGGCATAGTGGGCATTTTGGGCAGTGCTGGTGGTATTGGTGGGGGGAATTGCTTGATTGGAGGCTCAGAAGTTTTACTGGACTCCAAGAAAGCTTTTAGAAATGGTGGTTAGAGGAAGGAAGGCAGGTCCCAGGGGAATCTTTCCAGGTGACATATTTCGATTCTGGGGAAAAAATTCCTAAGTCTTTGTATCATAACTCGTTTTTAAACCATTTGATGACTTAGATGTACTACATGTATCAATCCAAATAGGATAGTGAATGCTGCGGTAATCAACAATTCTAAATGACCAGTGGCTTGAAACGAGAAAGGTTAATTTTCTCACTCATACTAAATATCTGCAATGTATGAGCTTCAGCTTTTGCTGCATATACTCAGGATTCTAGACTGGTGGAGCAGTGGCCCTCGAAAACATCGCTGCTTACCTTGACAAAGGGAAAGAAAGCTCTCGGGGGTCTTGAACTGGCAATTACTAACTGTGGCTCAGAAATGGCACTTGTCACTTTGTCTTCTCACTTGTGGGTCAAAACTAGTTAATGGCTCCAACCAACCAAAAGTGGCCAAGAAATGCAAGTCCGAAAAGCAGAGAAAGGAGACTACTTGGTGAATGGTACTATCATGTAATGACAGAGCTATTGCTTCCTGCATTGACCAAGTTTTTTCCATACTTTTGCTAGTGGTGATGGGCTCCCACTGTTCAGCTGGGGACCCCAAATCAAAGGCAGAAGTACAGGACCTCAGAATAGATGAATTCTGCCTCCTCTTATATTCCCTCGCCTTCTCCTAAATTTTCTTCCTTCCTTACAAAAGCATGTTTAAAAAAAAAACACACAAAAAATCCTACATACCATTAGTGGCTCAACCTTTCTTTCATTTCTCCCCCAAATTCAGTTTCTATTGCAACTGTCTGCTGCTTAAACCCAGGCACTAGAAAGATCCCCCTTCAGCGACTGCACAGCTACAAAAGAATCACCAGCAACCGATGTCCCCAGAAAGCCATTATGTAAGTAGACAAAGCTCACCCTCTCCCAGCCCAAACATTCATTTCTAAGGGGTATAGGTCAAGAACTGGGTTAGGTTACTTGGACACAAATTCAGTACACAAATTCAGAGCTCAGCCTCTGTCATCCAACCCGTGGATTTTCACAACAGGACAGTTTCCTTCTTAGTTCACTGTCTGGAAGCCATTTCAGGTCACGCCAGTTCCTTTGAGCCAAGAACAAGAATGGCTTGATTGGGCCATCAGGAGCAGCAGCGAACCCTCAGAGCCCCATGCCTCCTTCCACCTCTCCCACAGCAGCCCCTTCACCCCATGGCAGATGGTCCTGAAAATGTGGGGGTTAAATGGACGCAATTTCCAAAGAGCATCCTTCTAATTGCTTCCCCTCTCTGTCCCACAGCTTCAAGACCAAACAGGCCAAGGAGATCTGTGTTGATCCCAAGAAGAAGTGGGTCCAGGATGCCATGAAGTACCTGGACCAAAAATCCCAAACCCAAAAGCCATAAATAGTCACCTTTTTGAGACCAAACCGGAGCCTGAGAAATGCTTGATTCATTTTCCCTGATGTTCCTAAGATATGTCCTGAAATAAACTTGTCATCATTCCAAAAGGAATGGTTTTAATTTAACAATTTTAAAAAACCATATTGCATTTAAGTTATTGATGTTTTTAAACTTACCTGCCTATTGTTTTTAAATTAAATTTTCAATTGTTTTTAAAATATGAAGCTTTGGTCGGGTCCCTTCCCCTCTGTCAGCCCCAATTCAATCCCCTGCAAAATCATTTTGCTTTGCTACTTTGGAGTAATGTTACTCCGCTCCTCCCTGCCTCTCTGGAATCTTGTAAGGATCCTGGCAAAGATCATTGGTGTGAAAATGTTTTGTGTTTCTTAAGAAGACCTTGATCTTATGAACCAAAGTTGGACTCATAATGTAAATGGAAAAAAAAATTGGAGATTACATAAAATGTATCTTTCATTACTCAGCAGTTGTAGGAAACCACACTGAGCCAAGAGGAAGAAAGATAAAACTGTGGGGGTGGGAATTGTGTTCCCGAGAACTGACCTTTTGGCTCCGCTGGATTTCAGTGAGATTCAGGGTAAAACTGGCAGGACCAGAAAACCCTTTCCATCCCTCTGGGCCCCAAGAGCATTTGCCCAGACCCCGAGTACTTCCGTCACTTATTCAGCAGGACCCTCACCACCATCTTCCCCTGGCCAACCTTGCACTTGCCCAAAGTCTCTCCCATGACCCCCTGCAGCAGTCTGTGGTATTCTCCCTGTGCCTGACTTCATTCCTCTGACCATTCTCCAACCCAGAACACACAGGTAACACAGACAAATCAGAGGAAAGCTAGATGACTGTTGACAAGAGGTTCATTTAGACTAAGACCCTATAGACACTTCAGAGGGCTTAAGCCTGAGACTTAAACTCGGTGTTGATGGATGGACAAGTGCAGGGCCTCTGGTAGAGGTATTTCAGGCTAGGTACAAAGGAGAGAGGCAGAGCTTGAGAACATGCCTAGAAGTAGAGGTGCTTGTAATGTGCTTGTCAAGTGGAGCGGGAGCCCATTGGAAAGGTGTAAGGGCTAGGCTCTGAGTGAAATGGTGGGGAAATTTGGGAAGGAAAGTTAAGGCCAGTTTGTGAAGTGAAGGTGGGGAGTTGTGCTCCATTCAGATAGTAATAAGTAAGGTGAACATGTCAATTTTGTCTCCCAAATTTAGGACAATTTTGAGAATTAAAAGGCGATATCGTTAAGAATCGTGCTGGGATCAACACATATGCATTAACACTGTCCCAGGCAAACCCGAGTATCTGGTCACCTGAGTACTGACAGGCACTGGAAGTTTAGATTCAGTGGGGAAGGGCAGCGAGTGCCATGCTCAGAGGTGTTTCAGGAGTAGTCACCAGGGGCTAAGTGCTGGATGGGGAGGGGAAGCGGGGAACAGCGAGCACAGGGTTGCAATGTACAGGCAAGAGGGGACCAGAACCAGGGCAATGGTAGATGGGGAGGCGAGACACATGGGACGGGGTACAGTGAAGTGATGAATGCTATGGACGGAGAAGCATGATGGGTGACATGGAAACTTTCATTACCCCACAAAGTTGCAATTGTAGGGTAGCTGCTTAGACCCAGAAATTTCATTTTCCTCATCACTCTTCTCCTTACAACCAAATGGACAGGACCTGTACTTCCTGTATAAGCAACTCAAATCAGGATTCCTCCACAGCATATGAAATCAGCCTGTATTTCCATCAGCCATGCAACCCCCTATTCCTGGACAGAGATACCAACCACATCCCCAAGGGTAGAAAAAAGATCATAGGGGCCCTGCTGGTGTCACTCCATGTGGCCTAAGGCTGTTAACCTGGAGGGCCGATGGCTCACTACATCATGCTGTGTCCAGCAGGGTCACTGCGTCGCCTAGCTCCAGGAACACCCTTCATACCGAAGTCCCATTGGTCCACTGTATGCGGTGGCCATGGCACAGCAATATAAATGAGGCACTCAGAAAGAGCACTGACCTGGGAGACAGGTAACTTCCATTTTGTCCCTACAATAGGTCTCTCACTCTGTTATTTTGGGCCTTGATTACCTCATCCAAAATATAAGGATAGGGCCAGCCGAGTGGCGTGATGGTTAAGAGCTGGCTTGGGATGCCAGAGGGCCCCGGTTCGGATCCCACATATGAGGGCCAGTGACACTGCCCTCCGCAGCTAAGATGCTGAACAACAGCTCAACCTGGAGCTGGGCTGCCGTGAGTCGCTGGCGACGGCGTAGGCTGCAGCCCCTGCTGCAGTGGGTTGCCATGGGCTACCATGTGTGTAGCCAGCAGCCAGCGTGAGCGGCCAGCAGCCGCAGTGAGTGGCCGTTCAGAAGCCGGCGACTGATGTGCCTCACCTGGGAAGAGCGCAATGATGGTGCCAACTTGGGCCAGTGAAGCAATGTCCTCCACAACTAGACTGAAGACCAAAACGACAGCAACTTGTCTGTTCCCCTTCCCCCAATTCCCCAGCACTGTTCCCATCTCCCAATCCCCCAATTTAAAAAAAAAAATCTTAAAAAAACAAAAACAAAATATAAGGATAATAATGTTTCAGGGAAGGAATCTAACAGATGATCCCACAAGATCTCTTACACTGAGAGCACTTTCTCTTGGAAAACATCATTATCTCCACCCACTGGGGAAGGGAGGGTTGGGTGACGGCTCGGTACTCACATTCCCAAGTCGGACAGGGCCCAAGGTAGCTGCACACCTACTATATCTCAGACTGAGCCTTTCTGGGAAGCTCCTCTGTGAGAGACGCATGTAGAATAGAAGTGTAAGGGCAAAATTTGGTAGATCGATAACATAATTAAACTTAGCGAGTCTGCAGCTTAATCCATCCTGATATTCTGCTGTTTCCTCTTTGTTTCTCCTCCCACTGATTAACTGAAGAACTCTGTTCCCTTTCTCAAGTTAATTAACAAACATCCTAACCTGAAAAGAGCAGCTTCTTAAATCCTCAGGTGTCTGGACATCGGGACCCAAGATCACAACCCCCTAGCAGTTTTTGGCAGATGGCTACAGACAATAAGATTTAAGATGACACTGAGGCAGCCCTGAGGCCTCAGAAGACCTCAGGAGACAGCTTCTCAGCTATTAGCCCCGAGGCCCGCTTTCCTCTGTTCTTTCCCATTTACCTGCCTAGGAAACCTCTTAATCATTTTGGCTCAAGGAAGGTGGTTTTTTTAGACACAGTCTGCCATCTTCCCTAGCTGCTGGCATCTAGGATAAAGGACACCTTTCTCCTCACCAACCCTTGTCACGCTAGGTTTTGGACTCTGTGCAGCAAATTGCACTGAACCTGAGTTTGGTAACAGAAGCATGGGCCCCCGGAGCTATCAGGGAGCTTCTAGTGGTGACCACAGAACGGCTCCCTTTCAGAGCAATCACTGGACTCCATACTCCAGGTGCATGCAGCAAGCCTCCCACCTCTCCTGCAGCCTAGCAGACCTCGGCCCTAACTGCCAACCAGGGATGCACCTCCAAATGTCAGCATGTCTGGGAGGCAGGTACCAGCAGGCCAGCAGTGGGGTGGCCACAGGACAGCTCGGTGGAATCAATAGACCCTCTGGTGCCTGGCAAATCTTGAAAGGGCATCAAGAAGGGAGAGCAGAGGGCGAGGGAGAAGTGCCTTCTCTTTGTGAAAGACTAAACAGAATCTGCCCACATCCCCCTATGCCAAGCTTTCTTCTCTTTCAAGGAATCCTGAATCCAATTCACCTCTAACTGGGCACAGCATCCCCTGCCCCTGGAGAATGAAATTGTGGGCACAGAGCAGTGGAGATGTTGAAGCCTTCTGATGGCACACAGATCCCAAACAGGAACCAGAGATATCACCAAATGGTTTCTCTGGGAAGCAAACTCTAGGTGGAAATGGTCATGCAGAGTATACTGAAAGAATATGGAAAGTAGGACCGAGCCTATAGAGAGAATTTGTACTGTGACACAAAGCCAATCTTAGCCAATCCCACGGGAAGCTTTAGGATAGGGCTAGCCCAACTGCGGATGAGGGCACAGGCTTTTATACCCTCGTTTCAACCAGTCATGGATGCTGGCGGCTCCTGGGGAAAGGGCATGACTCTGGGCAAAGCAGCTCCCCTCAGCCAAGCACAAGCTGAGGAAACTCAGCTGCAAGCTGCTGGCTGCCAGTGCTCAGCAGCTGGGGAAGGCTCCTTCAGCCCTGGGAAGGAAAACTCAGGGCAGCACCCCAGGGAATCCAGCTGGACCCACCCCTTGTGCTGCCAGGGTCCACTGGCTTATATAATACTCTAGAAAACTCCTCCAGGAATCTATCTGATGGGCCTCTTTTTTCTTAGGAAATTTGCAAGAGGAAGGTTGCAGGGAGGAGTGGGCTTGGGAAGGGGGGAGGGCGGGTGAAAAACCCGCACTGCTGCTGTGGCAGTGGGCCCTAGACAAAGGCCTTCCCAGACCATGTGGTCACTAAGGATTTTGCGCGGGCTTCAGACAAAGACATTCCTGGACTGTGTGGTCACCAAGACTTCCGCATTTAATATTTCCAAATTCCTACCTCACCCAGGAGCCAGTCAGGAACTGGCACAATGGCCACATGTTCTAATAATAAATCTTAGCTGCCAACATGGAAACTTCAGGGTATATAGCCCCAAGTCCCACCCGGGTCGGGGCTCAGTCCCTGGATGTAAATCTGCTGAGCCAGTGCTGGCGTTAATAAAAGTTGCTTCCCACACCTTGGTGTCCTATCTCTCTGTCTGGGTTCCCCACAACACTGCAACTGATCTTGGCTGGGACATGGTGATTTATAATAAGAAATATATATTTAGTTTTAAACTCCATGCTTGACACAGTTCCTAAAACCCTTGGAATTTCGTGTGCCTGAGAGCCACACACATGTTTTTTGTTATGTTAGTGAGGTAATTTTGGAAAGCACCTGAGGAAAGGGGCTGGTTGTTAGTGGAGACAACCATGTGATTCAAAGATGGGAATTTTAAGGGGCCGGCTGAGTGGCTCAGTTGATTAAGAGTTAGCTTAAGAGCACAAACTCTGAACAACAGCGCCATTGGTTTGATTCTCACATGGGCCAGTGACTCTGCACCCGAGCTGAACTGCCACTGAGCTGCCAACAGGTGGCTGAATGGTTCAGCTGGTGAGAGCACGTGCTCCTAACAACAAGACTGCCTGTTCGATGGTGGGCTACGCCCGCCCACAACTGAAACTGAACTCAGCACCTTGAGCTGAGCTGCCACCCTGATGGCTCAGTAGATACAGTGCGCGCTCTTAACAAGGCTGCTGGTTCAACTTCCGCATGGGATGGTAGCTACGCCCACCGGCAACTAAGATTGTAACACAGCACCTTGAGCTTAGAGGCCGCGAACTGCTGA